CACGGGTGACATCAAATGTGGACTGGAGAAAGGTGTGTCTCAGGGATGGATGAGTGGATGGAGGACATCGAAGGCTGAGGTCTTAGAGTTTCCGCAGAAGCATGAGGGAGGTTGGACCTGTGGCTGTGGTACCAGGGACAGAGAGGAGGCAACAGGGACACTGGGCAGTTCCGACTGCAGGGCTGGCTGCTGATGAGCAGGCTGCTCAGCATTCTGCCTGTGCGATTTGGGGAGAGGGAGGAGTGCGGTGGGGGTTCTTTGAGCAGGCAGATGAGCTGGATTTGCCCCTGCTGAGTGCTCAGCGCTGTGGCAGAGCCCACTGAGGTGCGGAGCGACTGCTTCATTAATGTGTTCAGAGGCTGATGAAGTTCTCGCCGAATAGTCGTGATAAGCTAACATGGTATTTATTGAAAGAATTGGAAGCGGGCAAACGCTTTATGAAGGAGCGCTAGCATTTTACAACTGACAGATTGCTTTATTTGGAGTAGCTCAGGACAGACTTATTTTTTGTGTGTGTTTGTGAGATGTTCAACTTTGTCAGTTTTGAAAATATGCTATATTTGGTATGTTTCGATAGTGAGTTTTCAAAAACAGTTAAATATTACAATCCGGCGCACTGCGTTGTTTTCTTCCCAGCCAGTTCCCGGCGAAATAACAAGTCCAACATCTGGTGTTCTTCTCTTTAAGGACTCTGGCAGGAGAACAGCAGGATTAGGCTTAGCACTTGACGGATCTCCAGACGTAAGAGTTTCTCCTAAACTTGAGTCTGAAGCCAGGGAAATGGCCTGGGCTGCCCTGCGGAATGTCCCGGAGGAGCCACTAGGACAGTTGTCGTATGGCTGAGCATTCCTGGGCTGCACAGGAGAGCTGGCCACTGCGGTGTCATCTGCGATGGGAACACAGCGAGGCCCTGTCAAGGCACCAGCAGGACAGGGTCTTCCCGGTGCTCGGCTTCTGTTCTTTGTCAGCCCAAGCTTTGCTGGCTGGTAACGGTAGTTCTTCCTTCTCACTTCATTTTTCAGTGTCAAATCCTTGGACTCTGAACTTGAAACCCGTTTCCAGCTCCAAAGTCAGATATTCTTCAAGCTGGGAGGGCTCTTGATAGTGATCTTAGCCCACAGCCCCTGGATTTGTCAGGAGGAGAGGTGGACGGTGCGCCCGGTCACGCAGTGCGGTGGTCACGGAGCTCTGGCTGCTCTGGGCTCCTCCGCGGAAGGCACAAGGTGGCCTGCCTGTGCCTGGGGCCCTGCGAGTGGCCCGAAGTCAGTCTCCTTCACTTGGGAAAGCATCTTGGAAATGCTCTGGCTCAGTTAAAAGAAGAAAACACGTGTTTTTCTCTGGAAACTTATTTTTGTTTCTTCCCAATGGGTGTTCGTTTGAGCCCAGTGTGGTCTGTTCTGAGTTGTCCCCAGCCCAGCCTGACACTAGTGGCCTTGCTGCCTTGGTGGACATCAGTGCCACAGTTGCAGCAAAACTCCGTGTGCTCTGAAGGAGGGCATCATTCTATACTCAGGGAAGAACACATGAGGGGCTGTGGCCGCTGCAGGGCCTGGGGCCTGGGGCACATGCACCTGGGAACTTCCTCGAAGCAGCCAAGTCTCCCAGGGAAATGTCCGAAAGGCCCCTTGAGTCTTCCCGCTGAGACTCTTGTACCTTGGACCCAGGACTGAGTGTCCTGGCCCTCGGGTGCCTGTGGGACCCAGCTGTGGCTGGAGGGTGGTGTGTGGTGGGCGGATGGCAGTTGAAGCAGTGGCCCAGCCCAGGGAGCGAGGGGAGGTTCCGAAAGGAGCTCTGAGTGGGAAGGGGAAGAGCCCGCTGGCCTCACCGTTTCCCGGCCCGGAGCAGTGAGCAAGGGCTGGGGAGGCTTTCCTGAGGGGCCACCTCGGTCGTACATCCTGGCTTTCTCTGTTCTCCCTCCACACGGAACCCGAAGGCTGGCCTGGTGCGGGGCAGGGTGGGCGTGGAGGGGGAGTGTGGCCCAGCGCTTCCTGTCGTCTGGGCCCAGAGAGGACAAAGTCAGGAGCTTTTTCCTTGTCTCTGCTGGAGACTGTCTTCTGAGGTAGGCGATGCTGAGATCCTGCTTCTGGAAATGGGAGGATCTTGGGGTACCACGGGGGCACCAGCTGCTAGCTCACAACTGAACTCACTCCGTCTGTAAGGGCTCAGCCCTGGGCAGCAGACCTGCCTGGTGCTGTGCCCGCCCTGGGGGCTGTCTCCTTCCTGGAGCAGCGAGAGGGAACTGTGTCTGCCCAGGCCTCACTTGCTGAACGCTGCCGTGTCCTGGTGGGTTTTCCTCAGTGCTCTGGGACAGATGCTCAGATGTTCCTTCTCTCGGTAGCAGAACTGAATTCTGTACCAGAGAAGACCTAGGCTGAGAGCCTCTGTTCTCCTCCTGCCTCACAGTTCTGCATCCCGGCAGGCTGGTTGCCATGGGCCGCACTAGTGAGCTTCCTGGTCCCCGGCTTCTGTCTGGATCCAGGAGGCAGGAGGTGGTGTCCCTAATCCATCCACATTCCGTACTTGGCCCCCTTGTCAAAGCTCCCACTTCATTGTGCCGTCTTGTGTCTGCTGGGACCCTGAGCTAACACATCACCTAGTCCTGAGGTGAGGAAACTGAGTCACAGAGAGGCCTACTGGCTTTTCCTGGGCATCTTTTCCTTCCTCATTTTCACAGCCATGGCTGAGAATCCAGACTGTCTCAGAGGGCAGGAAGCCTCTTGCACTACAGTCTTTTCTGTGTGGCGCATTCTGGGACACTTCCATGTGTCACGAAAGTGTCACCAGGCACCTTTCAGTAATGAAACACTACTTAGAGAGAAGGGAGTCCTCTGGGAGGAGACCGTCCTCCACTGGGCAGTGGGCAGCCGGAAGTGCCTCCTTCCTTCGGGGAGGGAGCCCTAGTGCCAGGGTGTGGCTGGAGGAGGCGGGCTCATTTGCCCCTGCCTTTCCACCCCATGTGTGAGCAGTAAGAGTTTGCAGTCCCAGGCCTGACCACATGTGAGTAAGTGTGTGTTTGTGTGTGTGTGTGTGAGAGAGAGAGAATTTCATTCTTTTCTTCAATTTCCAAAGTTCTCTGCAGAGTCCCTTGAAACCTTCATATTTTAAATTTATTTCTCCACACTGTGATACCCTGGATTATATGGATGTGTCATACAACTGAAAGCATCTTTTGTTGTGATTAATGAGGGGAGTTGTGGTACATTCCCAGTGCCTCTGAGTGTATGTATGTGTGTGTAGCTGATGGTTCTATGTGCACGACTGTACCCTTATTTTTTAGTCAGTTCAATTCAATAGCTACCTGAGGAAAAAAATGTGACTCTTGGGTGTTGACTGAAATCTTCTGGTGATATCTGTTACTAAGATTTTCTTGCCAGCATCAACACTTGTGGGAAGATGTCATCATTTTGGGAGAAGGCCCCAAAGATGACTGGCTGCTCTTCAGAGTTGTCACATCACGAATGCTCTTGATGGCCAGAGGACAATACTGTGTGTGTGGTGATTTAAGTTGGAATTCCCAACTGTCTTAGTCACTTTGTCATCACTGAGACATGCTTCCCAACACCTATAACTTAAAGGAGGAGAGGTTTATTTGGGCTCACAGTTTGTAGAGGTTTCAGCCCATAGTCAGCTGGCTCCCAGGCAGGGCGGCCTGGCAGAGGGGCCTGGCAGAGGAGAGGAGCTGACACCATGGTGCACAGGAAGCAGGGAGGGAAGGGAGGAGCCAGGAGGGAGATGTACCCTTCTAGGCCCCGTCCCAGGCCCCGCCTCCTCCTACCAGGCCCCGCCTCCTCCTACCAGGCCCTGCCTCCTATCGGCCAGTCAGCTATAAGGCCCCATGATCTGGTCAGATTTAAAACACATGAGGTGGGGCCTGGGATTTAGCTCAGTAGTTCTGGTGCCTGCCTCGCAAGCACAAGGTCCTGAGTTCGATCCCCAGTACCAAAAAAAAGACACCCCCCCCCCCCGCCAAAAAAACCCACATGAGGCTTTAGGGACCATTTTAGATCTAAACCATAACACCAATGAATTTATTTCACTTATATTTTCATATTTTCCTTTTTATGTCCACAGTATAAATCCATGTCTAAAAGAAGTAGAGTTCTTTTAAATAAGTATAACATAAAAATTGTATCACACTTGTGCTGTCATTTCCTTTCATATTCATATAGAAAATAGCATGATTCTATAATCAGTGAATCTTGACCATCAGTGCAATATGATGTTGAAGTGGAAACCTTACTGAACCATCAGTATGAATCCACAGATGGCTTGGGAAGCTAAGGGGTGAGGAATGGGCTTACTCATTTTGACACAAGGGTCTGTTAAGTGCGTTCCCTGGGTCTAGAGCCAGGCTAGGCATTGAGGATGCAGCTGTCCGGGGCAGACAGAGGGGACCCTTGTCACGGGGAGGCCAGAATGTGTTGAGTAACTAGATGCTTGTGATGTCACAAAGGGAAAAGGCAGGCTTTGGGGGAAGTGCACAGGGGAGCCCAGTGACACTGAGTGGAGAACAGAAGGGTGAGTAGGAGTCTGTCGGGTGGATGAGACTGGGAGGGGAGGTCGTCCAGGCCGCTGGGCGGAGCCGGTGGAGCTGGGAGGCAGCAGAACAGGACCCGAAGGATGATGGAGCAGAGCGGCTGGCACAGAGAGGGGCTGAGGGTTGGAGGAGGAGGGGCCGCTGGCTCCCAAGGGCCTCCTAAATTGTGTGCGAGGTGTGGCCTGCTTCCGGCGATCAAGAGGAAGTTGTGGAAGAGATTTCAGGAGAAGAAAGTCATGCTCAAATTTTAGAGTTATCTCTCAGGTGGCTGGGCAAAAATAAAGTGCTGTGGGTGACAGGCAGATGGAGGGGACCCAGGAAGGGTTACACTCGGCTGATTAGAGAGGGAGCAGCCGGGATGGTAGAGACACCAGAGGATGCTCAGGAAACCCAGGGCAGGCGACAGGCCCGCTGAGATTGTGGTCTTCAGACCCCTGACGGTTAAGTCATCCTTTCTTTGTTTTTACAGTGACTTCTGAATCGCGCCTGCTGCTTGCTGGGAAACGAGGTCCTCCACCAGGTAAATGCAGGACACTTTTCTCCACAGTCTCGCTAATTCCCGACCCCAACATTTTATTTAAGCCTCACCTAGCCCAGTTGAGTGGGGCGCTGTGTTATTATCCTGTCTTACACGGAGGAGTTCAAGGTGTCAGAAAGTTAGGCCACTGGATCAACATGCACAAAGGTGTGCATCTCAGCCTAAATTATAATAAAAAATAAAACCAGCGGAAAGGAGGGGATCTGAGTATCTAACAGCAGGCAAATCGTATGTATTTAATTATGGTATTTCATTTGGTGGAGGCATGTGAGGTATTTCACTCTATACCAGATTAATAAGCTTCTTGTCCATTTCTAGTTTGCTAAAAGTTCTTACGAATGGATGTTGAACTCTGTTGAATGCTTTTTAATATCTACTGAGATGATCAAATGAACTTTAAAAAATCTTTTAATTTTTTGTGTTCTTTTACATTTATTGATTTTTTTAATGTTAAGCAACCTTGCATTACTGAGATAAAACCAACTTGGTCAGGGTACATTATAGTTTCTTTCTTCCTTTTTTTTTTTGGTGAGAGTAGGAAGAATTTATTGAAAGATAACTTCTGTCCAAGAGAGACAGAAGGGGAGCCCAGAAAGTGGGTAGCTGCCATTATATTTTCTACACTTGCTATATATATATAATATGCCAAGTTCTAGACATAAACAAGATTGGACAAAACATTTTTTTTCTGGTATTTTCCTTGTCAGGAGTGGTTTTTTAAAACATGAGAATTACTTGGTACTTGAATGTGTGGTGGAACTTGACAATAGAACTCTTTGAGCCTGATGTCTGCTTTGCGGGAAGTATTTTCACCTGCTGATTTAGTCTCTGATTTATTTAGATTTTCTATCTCTTCTTGAGTCATTTTTGTTAAATTATGCTTTTGATTTTATTGCATGTACACATTTCTGTTGCATCTGTGTGTGAAAAAGGGGAATTTCTGGGTCTTCTGGCATATGTTCAGCTACAGAAGATACTATCAATTGGTTTTCCAAAGTGGTTGTATTGATTAAAAAATTTACAGCCCAACTGGGAGTGTATGAAGTTTCTGATTTTTCCATATCCTCTCCAATATAAAAAATATATTTTTTAATTTCATGGAAGCTCTTCTTGTAGGTATGCAGTGGATAATATTATAGTTTTGATTTGCACTTTTCTGTAGACTGTTTTCATATGTTAATGACCATTTGGATTTCTTATTTTGTGCAAAGCCCTTTCAGGTGTTTTAAAAAGTTGGATTATCTTCTCAAATTATCTTTCTTATTTAATTGAAGACATCTTAAAAGGAATGTATTCTAGCTGGGGATTTAGCTCAGTGGTTCTGCTGCCTGCCTTGCAAATGCAAGGTCCTGAGTTCGATCCCTGGTACCAAAAAAAAAAAAAGAAATGTATTCTGCATTTAAGGCCATGGTAGGATGTATGTATTACAAATATCTCATCTTTCCTTTGATTTGCCTTTTTACTGTCAAGGGACTCAAATTCCTTTAACATAGTGTGAATTATTAGTTTTTCCACTTTGTAGTCAGCACCATTGTGTCCTATTTCAAGAAATCTTGGCCTTATCTGGAGATTACGAAGATGTGTTCTGTTCTGAAAGCTACATTATTTACCTTCACATTTTGCTGTGAATCATCTGGAAACATCTTAATTAGACACGATGTGACATAATTGGGATTCATTTTGTTTCCACATGAATATCCACACCCCCTTGTTTGTCAGAGCATTATGTGTGTATTCATTTATTTTGGTTGGGTTACTGAGATATAAGTAACAGTAAAATTCACTCTCATAAAATACCTGGTTTGGAAAGTTTTGACAAAGATATATAATGGTGTAAACCAGGCCGTGAGCACAGTGTAGAACATCTACAGCCCTGGACGGGTGTTCTACCTCCAGCCTTTGAGCACCAGGAGTGGATTTCTGTCTCTGTGTTTTTACCTTTTTCTAGGATATATAAATGGAATCATAGAGGATGTAGCCTTTTGTTTCACATTCTTCCACTTGGCATAATTTTCATTCATTTTTGTGAATGCCAGTAGTCTGTCCCTTTTCATTGTTGAGTGGAATTCCATGGGATCATGACTGCAGATTATCTCTTCACCCACTGGCGGACATCTGGGTTATTTATAGGATTTGACTACTGTGAATAAAGCTGTTATAAACACTCGTGAACAGCCTTTGTGTGGACACGTTTTCATTTCTCTTGAACATACTTCTTTTTCTGATAGGTCTGAGTCACTAGGAGGGGAGTTATTGCATCATGTTGGAACTGAAACAAGTACAAGGTTAGAATTAGAAACAAAGTCTCCAAGTTGTTTCCCTAGTGATTGTGCCATTTCACATTCCAGTCAGCAGTAAATGAAAGTTTATTTTTCCCCTTCAGCCTCTCCAGCACTTGGTATTATTTGTCTTTGTCATTTTAGCTATTAGAATTGGCATTAGTGTTATCTCATTGTAGTCTTAGTTTTCACTTCTCTCATGTTGAGCATCTTTTCATATGTTTCTTTGCCATCTGGACATCTTTTTGGTGAAGTGTCTGTTCAAACCATTCACCAGTGCTTTTTTATTTTTTTGGTACTGGGAATCAAACTTGGGACCTTGCGCTTGCGAGTCAGGTGCAGTACCACTGAGCTAAATCTGCGGCCCTCATTCACCAGTTTTTAATATTAAATTATTTGTCTTCATCTTATGGTGTTATAGGACATATGGTGTATTCAAACCCTCTATCAAATATGTGTTTTGCAAATACTTTTTCTTAGCTTCTACCTTGTTTTCTCATATTGTAACAAGTGTCGTTAGTTATATGATTTGTTTTAAGGTTAATTTTGTGTGAAGAAATGGTCTAAGTTCGCTTTTAGATGGATGTGTAGATTTTCTGGCATGACACTGTGAAAAGCTGTTTTCCTCCCTTTACTTTGTACCTCTCTCTCTCTCTCTCTCTCTCTCTCTCTGCAGTCTTAGACCACCTGCTGTTGCCCTTCAGTTCTTCGGTTCCTTTTTTTTTTAAAAAAGTTTTTCTTTCCCTTTGGTTTTTGTTTGTACATTTCTGTTGACTTTTTTTTTCTTTTTCAATACTAGGGATTGACCCAGAGCTTTCACACTGAGCTGTACCACCAGCCCTCTCTTTATTTTTTGTTTTGAGACAAGGTCTTGCTAAATCACTAAATTGCCTGGGCTGAGCTCAACCTTGTGATCCTCCTATCTCAGCCTCCCAAGAGTGCTGGGATGACAGACAGACACCACCATGTCCATCTCTATTGATTATCTTTAAATTTACTGATTCCTTTCTTACCTACCTCCTGATCAGCCTATCAAAGAAATTCTTCCCTTCTGACATTGCATTTTTATTTCTAGATTCTCTGTTTGATTCTTTCCTATAGTTTCCTTCTCTCTACTGAGCCCATCTTTTCTAGCATTGCTGGCTGCTCTTTCTATGACAGCCTTTAACATATTGATAGTTATTTTAAAGTTTCTTGATTGTTCCAAGGTCTAAACCATCTCTGTCTGGTTCTGTTGATCACTTTGTCTTGAAAATGAATTTTTTTCTTGCTCTTTTGAGTACCTCGTAATTTTGATTGAGTGTGGACAGTGCTTGTGGAAGAGCAGGAGGTAACTAAGGAAACCACAGCCATGCCTCTTCTGTAGGCTGCTGATGTGAGGGACAGGGTCAGTCTTGGCAGTAGTTAGCAACATCTGTAGTTGGTGTGAATTTGGGTGGGGTTGGCTCATGATGTCTGGGTCCTGGGTGGTCCAGATGCTACAGTTTCAGGTGTGGCCTGGAGTTGCCCAATGCCTGTCTCCCTGCCCCAGCACACTGGTTGGTATGAAGCTGTGGTGGTGCTGAGTTCTCAGTTCTCCTGGCCCAGCCTCACTGTTGGGTGGCCTTGGGATGGGGCTCTGGGAGGGTTCCTGTCCTTTGAAGAGCCAGTCTCTCTGCCTTGCATCTGTGGAGTGCTCACATGGGAGAGTTTCCTGCCTCTGCATCAGTGGTAGTATCTGTGCAGGATCCTGGACCTGAGGGTTTCTTGTTCTGCCCACAGGCAAATGGCAGGTATTTGCTTTTGTCCCTTCCCAGGAACAAGAGAGCCTTTGCTTGGACCTGGGAGCTGGGGAGGTTTGTAGGATGAAAGCTATGGTTTAGTAAGAAATAAAGTTCTGGAAGTGGCTGGAATCTCTTGCCTGTGTCCTACCACCGGGAGCATCTCTAGCCTCGGACTCTGCCCTCAAATTTCTCATGAGTTCCCACTCAGACCCATGGGAAAGCTTGGGAGACAGCTTGGGCTCCTCTTGGTCCAGAGGCTTGGAGAGTTGTCTGCTGTATTGCTAGCCCACACTTTCCCTGTAAAAACTCATTTGAATCTTACTTGCTTTCTTATTCCTGCTCTCATGATGGCCGCCTGTTGTGGTTTACATCCAGAATGGCCTCAAGAGCCTCCATACTCAGAGGCAGGGCTGCTGGATTGTGATTGGATCATGGGGCTCATAGCTGATTGACTGTTAGGAGGCGGGGCCTGGTGGGAAGAGGTGGTCACTGGGGGCGTGGCTGGAAGGGTCCATCTCCCTCCCTGGCTCCTCCTTTTTCTCCCTGCTTTCTGGCCGCCATGATGTGAGCACCTCTCTTCTACCACGCCCCTCTGCTGTTTCTGTCTTGGAGCCATCTGACCATGGATTGAAACCTCTAAAAACTGAGCCAAAATAAACCTCTCCCCTTTTAAGTTGTGGGTGTTGGGTATTGTGTCTCAATGACGAGAAAGTGAGTAAGACACTGCTTCCTTGTATTATTCTCTGCCAAGCGTGACATTTCTCATGTTCTCTTTCTCCTTGGAGAGCCATGTCACTTGTGAATTAGCTCACCGTGTTGCCTTGTGACCCCAGCTCTCTGATGTGCTCAGTACACCTCAGGATTTGGCTGGTTTAGCAGATTTAGCAGCTTTTTCTTGTTATTTTCTGTGGGTTTCTGTATCTTAAGTGGATGTGGCACT